ATATAGTATAGATATATTATATTGTCCATTTTGTTTTGAAATACTGCTCCAAAAACGATTTGTTTCATTGACCACTCGTCTTTGCTAACATCAATGACGACTTGCCCGATAACAAGCAAAGTTACTGGAGTTTACAATAAATACACTGTTTCCAGTAAATAAATTTGAATATAATATGATTTGGGGTAACGTTGTTTTCGCCAGGCCCACATATTCTTTGCTCGAAGGCATTGGCTGAAGCATTTAAGAGCCAACGTTTAAAAAGTTAAAGAACGAAAATTGCGCCCCTCCAGTTTCATGTATCAAGATTTATTCTACCTTCTAATTCCATCTATGTTTTTTTATGCGCAATCATGAAAATTTGGGGGGGGCCTTGGGGGAATCTTTGGGGGGCGGGAGCTTGGCTCAACGAATTCAGAAATCAAAAGCTCGTCATATCCCTCGAGTCACTACATGCTATATTTCTTTTTATTAGTTGGCTAACGACCTTGGACTGTGACAGATCAGAGACAAAACATCCTGTCCCTTTCTAGGCATCTCAACGGAGAGGGACTAGTTGTAATTTTCTAAAGTATTCTTCGTTAAAAATCAAAATTACGAATGAAGTTGCGTTTATTTGTTAAGAAAGGGTTATGCAAGCATAAAATTCGATTGATTGAATTATTGATTGATGTCCCCGTGCTCGTCATGGGCAACTGGTGGAAGTGTCTTAGCTCCGTCCTGGGTCGCGACCCTAGTGTGTGCATGTAAGTATGTGTGGCTAAGAAAGAGGTGACGATAGGAACAAGAAATATGTAGGGAAAGATTTGCGCCGCGGTCCATGGGTCCATTTGTTTAGAGTACTGCTCCGGCATATGCCAGCGTTTTGATCGCGTGAAAAACGGCGAAACTCTACCGATCAGAACAGCCGGTTCGCTAGAATTCTTCCCAGGCAGCTTCTGAACTGTTACCTATGTATGTGGATAGTGTGAAAAATCCTCTGCCATCGACATGACTTGAACCCTAAAATTTCCGCGTCAGTGGCACTTAGTACTTCACTTGGACACTGAAGACATCTACGCCCTATAAGATACATCTAAATTATTTAGGTCTATTCTGATTCAGACTACGTTTTGGAAATTAGACTTGCGCTGTTTTCTCAGTTACTTGCTTCAACTTTACTAGAATCTGTTATTGACTGTAAGAACTCGCTCACCTTCCGATGGCTTCACATTTGGCAAGGAGGAAATTTCGTGTGGGTAGGCAATGGCCCCATGGCGTGACACTAAAGACCCAGGTTTGTAAACGTGCCATCAGACATAACATGTGGTGGGATGAGTGATTCACTATGCTCACATGGGTTTGATAGATTTACCTGCAAAATAACAAAGAAATTTTACACTGATAAGAGGTGTAGTACATTCCAAAACCTTACTCTGATCTTCTATAATTTTAGCTATAAATATAATTCCTTTGCCGGTGGTTTGATTTCGACAAACACAGAGTACTCAGCGTTTAGTATTTTACTCCTTTCATGGTGCTTATGCGTAATTAAAATTTCTGAGATTTCTGTATGTTAGGGATATTGTAGTGTTTTCCACGAACTCGGTTATGCAGCTCTTAGTTGGGGCCACTCAGCCAATGCTATGTTCGGGTCTATCTTACAAAATCAGATCATATTATCCCGTTTTGATCATTTCTTTGCCGAAATTTCGAACAATGAGGGCTGCATGCGGAAAGTCAGATTTTTTGTTATTTAAGCGCATCAACAACTAGGTCATTAGCGACCACTATTGCTTGGTAACGGTATGGTAACTATGAGAATTGCACCGATATGATATGATTGAAATGAGAGGTGTGAAAGGAATACAATACAACCATGCCCGCAGGCGGGACTCGAATCCGCGATCCAGACGGTCCGGTAGCTCCGCTGCACTTAATTTTCACCCGCGAGTTTGACGTCTCCCCCAGCTACGTAACTTGTCACTTTATATATATATATATATTATATAATATAATATATATATAATATATATTAAATGATAATATATATATAAGCAAATGTTTGTCTTGAAAGCATTTTTTTCAAATAAAATTTTAAGTGCTAAATTCCACCAACCATTTCGGAATATCCCAGTAGTTTATTAGACAAATTATTGCTTAAAATTATCTTAAGCTGCTTTTTTGCGAAGTTGTAGACGTTTTCTCCCGGAAATCTTGGGTATATATATATTAATTATATATATGTATATAAATTAATGTAATGGTACGAGCTTGCCGCGAATTCAACGAAGATATGTTTACCAAAAAAATCGCAGGCCTCCACCGCGTCCAGGGCTGGTTGGAAAGCCTGTGGTACCTGACCACTACTGCCGCCGTTCTTCTCGGGAGGCGAAGGGTTCGTTTATGACGGTGCGACCCGCGGGTGCCAGTATATATATATTTATATATATAATATATATATATATATATAATATATATATATATATTATATAAGAGAGAGAGAGAGACCGTAGGTTCGGGGTCGAAAATGAGGTTTCCAATAATACACAATTATTTAACTTTACCAAAAAAAAACATTAATATCCAGCTCTAAGGCGAATATGCTTTGGGAGGCCCACAACGTCCCTCCACATATTTACAAGCCTGAATGTTTCGAGAGCCCTGCTTCCTGAATCATGGAGGCGCCCTCTTCTCCAGTAAGTATCCTCCTGATTGAAGTGAATTGAATTTTGCGAGAAGCAGGCGGGCGGAGCTTTTGGTCAGATGACTCTCGATCATTTCCTAATAGCCAAAATTTTCGTCGTTTGCCGCCGTAGGCAAGTGTTATGCGCCTGCGAAAAACGTTGCTGTCGACCTAATCAGGCCCCCCAATTAATGTTGAGACACCGGTTGAGCCGCCACCGGCGCGCTGAAGATTACTTGAGAACGCCGTTAAATAACATGCTGCCGAGGCGAGTTGTGTAATTGACGGCGGATCTCTTTGACTGGCGGTCGCGGGGGAACAGAGTCACCCTCCTTGAGTACTTGGCGGGTGCGATTCTGACAAAAGGTCTCCCCTTCAAACGACGGCGGGGTTCGCACCGTCATTAAGCGACCCCACCTCCGCGAGAAGAAAGGGCGGTGGTGTCAGGTACCCAAGGCTTCCAACAGACACTGGACGCGGTTGGACGTCTGCGATTTTTTTGTTAAACATCCGTTGAATTCGCGGCAGCTCGTTTTCCGTTTATATAATATAAATAATAATATATAATATTATAAGTATATATAGTATTGTTTATTGTCGATATTCAAAGCAAAATGTTAACTTACCCCTATTTAGTGTCTCCAGGTGAGATGGGTCTATTCTATGGATGACTGGAGATTCGGTGAAAGCGTAGTACTCATCGCCAAATGGATTATTGATATCAAAGCATTGTCAGAGTACGGTGTCTCCTGCGTTTGAAGATTATGTAGTTTCCTAATTGTAAAACTTAAATTATTTAAAACATTATGAAGAACAGTGCATTTTGGTCCAAATTGGCATTTTTCCTTGAAAAGTTTGGCCGTTTTTAAAACAACTGGTTAAACGCGTACTGTAGCAATCGAAATTTGAAGCTTATTCAAAGAACATTTGTTAAATTTACGAGAAACGTCTTATGAATCATTTTATTTCTTAAACTCACAAATTCAATAGTGTTTACCCAAAATTGGCGCTGGAAATGCGGGAATGCATTTAAACCAAAGGGAGAGATGCTTTCAAAAAAATTACATTTGTTGTAATTTTTTGAAACAAGAACAAAGAAAACTTTCGAACATAAACTTTACGTCATATTAACAGATTGCAATTATAACTAGTTCGAAAGTTGAAGAAAAAAATTGGACCGTTTTTTTAGAAATGTGTTTGAGCGTTTTGAAAATGCGGAGATTTTGGGTTTTTCGAGAAAATGTATGTCATTTAAGCACATGTACTCATAAATACAATAATGTGAACAATTTTGCTCTTAGTATAAATATTAATATACATGAGGACAAGTAATAAAATACTTTTTTTGTGATTTTAAAAAAACAGAAAACTAGAGCAATATAGCGTTTATGTTTTCTTACAGAGTAACATTAGCCGCTATCGCCAAAAAGAGTTTAAAGGAAAATTTGGCAACCATTTTTGAGAAAAATCGGCCTTTTAAATTTTTTTAAAATTTCATGTATTGCATATATTGTACGCAATATTACGCAATAACAACCAAAATTTTCCAAAAAAATGTACATGACCTTATGAAAGAAATACTAGGGGAACATATTGTGTTCCAATGGAAAAATCCTATCTTTAATTTTCTAGTTTGTAGGACCACACCGAAATAATCAATACTTTTGAAAATATTGGAAAATTTCAGAATTACGTGAAAAATGACTTATGCAACGTTTATTAAGGAGTTGAACATTATTTTTACAAGAAATTACAGAAAAATTTAGGAGCCATTTTGAGAACATTTTGAAAATTCCGGAGGGCTTGATGTAAGAGTCCCCCAGATTGAAAGAATAATTTTCAAAAATCTCAGAGTTCGAATCGAGCCCAAATGGACAGGGTTCCTCATTTGAAAATAACTCCTGACATATTTGGTTTGGGCGCTAGATAGCGTTTACACACGGACAGGACGGACATTGTATCCATTTTGAAAAATTGGATATACCCTTAAAGTACCCCTAATGTTTAAAGAATTATTTTTGAAAGTGGTGAGCTGCGGGTTGACCACATCTACCGTGAAAATTAATTTTTTGAAAAAAGTACATATACAAGTTTAGACCACAATAG